TAGGTTAGGTTAAATGGAGTCAAAGTGCCCAAGTAACCTACCCTAGAAACAATATACAATAGCTACTAAAAAGGAAATAAAGTGCCTCACAAATACAAAGGCAAAAATACACCTATACAAGTATCTACTATATACAAGGTACAAGAAATCAAACTATACAATGTATTTACAATAGAGACTATGAGACTAACAAGAGGAATCATACTCAATACTCATATTGAGCATAGGTCTAAGAAGCACCTCCTCTCTAGAAGCCTCCTCTAGCCTCCTAACCATGGACCTAGTTAAAGGCCCAATGGTCTTCAAGTGTGAGCATCCTTGGTTCACCCTTCACCCTTCTTGGTCTTACCTCTTCCAAAGGGATCCTTGGGGATTAGATTTCCATCAAATTAGGTGTGCTCTATTTTCTCTCCCTACTACTCCTCTGTTCAGGTTCAAGAATTGTGGGAAGAGGTGTGAAATTTTTGCATTTCATGTGGCGGTGAATAGTGCTAAGTACTGCCAGAATTCTCCAATTAATTGTGATTTTTGGTTTTGATAGCTACACTTGTTATTTTTGCCAAAAATTTTGTATGGTAACTTCTTTCAACCCATATTTTGTGTGAAAAATACTAGGGGCTCTCAAGGTGGTCCAGATTTGGAGATACAAAAATTTGAGCCTAGATTTTTGCAAAACTTCAAACGGCCATAACTTTTGCTCTGGTTATCAGAATTGGACAAATTTTTTTTTGGACCATTATACCCTTTTATGTTAAAACTTAGAAAAATATTTTTTAATCAAATTTAAGAATTTGAAACTAATATATAAAGGGAATACCCTTTTCAGTAACTATCTTAGTCTCCACTTTTTTTTAACCATTATATCTTTTTATTTTAAAAAATTTAAAAATAGTTTTTAATCAAATTTAAGAAATTGAAACTAATGAATCTATACTAATATATAAAGGAGATACTACTTTCAATAACTACTTTTGATTTTCATTTTTACATGGAACATTTTATCCTTTGTTTAATTTTCAATAATTACCTTTTTTATGAGTAAGTTCTCATTGTTTTCCTTATTTATTTATTTTTTTCTTTTAATACAATGCAGACACGAAGTGCTTTTTTTTTGCTAGTTAATATAGATATAAAAAAAAATACAATAAAAAGCATGGCGTTCTAGAGTGGGCCCGTTCTAAAATCAGAACGGTCCGTTCTAAAATCAGAACGGTCCGTTCTAAAATCAGAACGACCCGTTCTAAGAGCAAAACGACCCATTCTGGTTTTAGAACGGGCCGTTCTGCTTTCAGAACCGGCCGTTCTGATTTCAGGTTTTTTCTGTAATTTTGGCGTCCACGTGCGTATCCACGTGGCATCCACGTAGATGCCACGTGGCCAACAGTTAACTCCGTCTAAATCATTTGGACGGAAGTCGCAAATTGCACTAATTTAAGTTATTGGGGACCAAATTGAGACCGAAAATTAAAGTGAGACTAAATTGAAACAAAAAAACATTGTAAGGGACCAAAAGAGGTATTTAACCTTTATTTTAAAATATATATTGCAAAATTTTAAAAGAGATAATGACAAAAAAATTAGAATGATTGAAAGGATATTTATAATTATATTATTTATTCAACCTGTTTAACAAATCTTTTAAAATTTTAATAAAAAAATAATATATAGTAATTTTTGGTGAATTTGAAATATATATATTTTTTCAATTCATGTCTTATATGTTTAAAAAATAATAAAATAAAGTGTCAATATTAAAGCATAATAAATATATAATATTTTAATTTATATTTATAACATAATTATTACAATATATTAGATATATAAATAGATGCCCCAGCTAGATTTTCAAAAAAAGGTCGTTTACTATTTTTTTTCAAATTTTCAAGTTTTATTTCCCTATTTTTCCAAACTTTTCATAGGTGGTTCATATAGTTAGGCTTTGAATTTTGCTCTCAAATTTTTTGTGGTAGTTTCTAATGAATTTCGAATGATATTGGTGCATGATTTTTGATGTTTTCTGAGTTTTCATGGAAATTCCCATTTTACCCCTACTGTTCACGTGTCCTGAATGCATGTGTTTCATGTAGTGCATGACTAGGAGCAACCCAGGTTTTTTGCATCCATTTGATCCTGAGATTGATAGGACATTCCATAAACTAATTAGATAGCATATGATTCCATCTTTAGATAGTAATAGTCATAGTGATAATCATAGTGTAAGTGTTGCATCTGAGCTTGATTCAGTTCAAGCAGAAAACATGGGTGAACAACTTTATAATGGACCCCGTGAGATGACTCTTAGGGAGATGGCTGCACCTAATTTCACATATGAGAGTTTTTGCATTCAATATCATGAAGAGGATGTTCCTTTTGTGCTTAAAATTGGACTAATCCATTTGTTGCCCAAGTTTCATTGTCATGTAGGTGAAGATCCACATAAAAATATGAAGGAGTTCTATATTGTTTGTTCTACCATGAAGCCTCCTGATGTTCAAGAGGACCACATTTACCTGAAGGCATTTCCACACTCATTGGAGGTAGTTGCTAAAGATTGGTTGTATTATTTAGCTCCCAGGTCCATCACTAGCTGGGATAATCTGAAAAGAATGTTTCTAGAGAAATTCTTCCTTACCTCGAGGACCATTGCAATCAGAAAATATATATCAGGGATTAGGCAACTTGGTGGACAGAGCTTGTATGAGTACTGGGAGCGATTCAAGAAATTGTGTGCAAGCTATCCTCACCACCAAATTTCTGAGCAATTATTGCTACAATATTTCTATGAGGGGCTGAATAACATGGAGAGAAGTATGATAGATGCTGCAAGTGGTGGAGCACTTGGTGACATGACCCCAGTTGAAGTCAGGCACTTGATAGAAAAAATAGCCTCCAACTTTCAACAATTTAGTACCAGAAACGACAATGCAATTGTGATCAGAGGAGTTCATCATGTGGCCATTGATGCAGATAAAAAGCTGGAGAGTAAAATTGATGCATTGGTCAACCTAGTAACTCAACTTGCTGAAAATAAAAAATCTACATCTGTAGCAAGGGTCTGTGGCATCTATAAATGCTTGTCCCTCCTTGCAAGACTCTTTTGCAGGTCTTGAGGCGCCCCAAACATATGCTGCCAATATTTACAATAATAGACCTCCACACGAGCAACAAAAAAATTATGATCTGTCCTCCAATAGATACAATCCTGGTTGGAGGAATCATCCCAACTTGAGGTGGGAAAATTCTCAACAGCAGCAAAATCAAGCACCTTTTCAGAACCAACCCTCAAGTTCTTCATACCATCCTCCTCAATAGAGACCTCCTCCTACATCTGCACCTCCACCAGCTCAACCTTTTACTTCTTTTGAGCCTTCATTGGAGGAGTTGGTGAGGTAGATGACCATTCAGAACATGCAATTCTAGCAAGAGACCAGAGCCTCCATTCAGAGTTTGACAAATTAGATGGGGCAGATGGCTACTCAACTCAATCAGGCACAGTCTCAAAATTTAGATAAGTTACCTTCACAGACTGTGCAGAATCCAAAGAACGTGAGTGCCATCACCTTGAGGTCTGGAAAACAAGTTGACGTACCAGCACCAATACATGCACTTGAACCAGCATCTTAACCTACAATTGAGAAAGAGGTCTCTGCAGGTGGTAGCAGAAATTTGAATACAGGTGGTCCTTCTTCCAGTGCACAAAGTGGCGACTTGTAGCCTCCTATCCCTCGTTCATATAGTTAGGCTTTGAATTTTGCTCTCAAATTTTTTGTGGTAGTTTCTAATGAATTTCGAATGATATTGGTGCATGATTTTTGATGTTTTCTGAGTTTTCATGGAAATTAGATCTACCCACTAATTTATTTCAATTTGATTGTTGTCTTATAATATTAATGTAACATTAATATATATTTTTATTATATCCTTAATTATTATTAATATATTTTTTAATTTTTGTAGAAATTCAAAAAAATGAAAAATATATTTTTTTTGAGGGAAAAAAAAATTAAAAAGTTATATAATTTATTTATGAAATCAACATATGAATTATATTTCTTAACCCCATTAGAATACCTTAAACTTACAAAATGCAACAAAGGATGTATTGTCTAATTCATAATGTTTACAAACTTCATCAATTAAATTGATAATAATCTGCCTCCCAATTTTATTTTATAATAATCTTGCCCTATTTAAGCATACAATATTTGTTAAAATCATCAAATAAACCCACGGCCCCCATTAAACAAGGAGCATTGTTTGCAATTTGTAGTTTGTAATTTTAAACACGAGGATCTTTCAATTTTGAATGTTTGAAAACAACAAACGTGCGTGTGCGTGTCTTGTTCTATTTAGTTTGCATGTGAATCTGATATCACGACATAAAAGCGCGCTCCAATTCAAATTGTGTTTTCTCTCATTTCCTCTTCCCTCTCACACCACCCACCAGATCCACCCACAAACCCTAATCCACCAAAACCAAAACCCTCACTTTCAATTTTCTTCTTCATTAACTCAAACACTAACCTTTGACTTAACGTATGAACGAGGATTGCAATTCTGGAACAGCGTCGCTGTTGACCTCCCCTTCCAATTCCAAGGTCGCTCTTCACTCTTTTACACGCTTCTTCGATTCTCGTTTTTTAAATTCTAAATCTTTTCTTGCTTCGTGTTTCTTTCAGATCGTCGGAGAGAAGCGTGGCAGTACTCACGCGGGACTCAACGCTCGAAAACGGGTCAAGATGAAGGATCTTGACTCCGTTGTTCACTCCGCCGGTAATTTAATGTTTCTGCCAAACTACGTCGTTTTAAGTTTTTCAAAAGCATTCATTTTTCTTCAAAGAATTCAGCTTTTCATCTAGGATTTGTTTTTCTTCTTTTTTGTAAATATCTCATTTTTTTTAATTGTATTTTATTTTATTTATTTCTTTCGTAGAAGAGACCATTACCAATCTCTCATGCTTTTCTTTTAGCCTCAATTATAATTCACGATTGCAATTATTATTGTTCAGAAACTAATAGCCGTTATTCGGAGTTTAAAAACGACAAAGAAAACAGTGTTCAGTGGTCGTTGGGTGCCTCGGATGCTATACAAGAAGGGAAAACGGGGTTGCCGGAGGAGTTTAATTTTGCGGCTAGACCTTTGGATCTTAACACCGAAGCGTGCAAAATTGGAGGGTGTGTTGAGACTTTCGCGAGAGAATCGGTGTCCGTGAAGCAAGAGAAAGACCATGGTGGGAATTTAGTAGTTTCAAGGGGAATTAACGTGGATCTGAATGCAGAAGATGTTACTAGCTCTGTGAATTTGGAGCCGGCGAATTTGTCTAAAGGGCGCAATTCTTTTAAGTCGAAGGATGTGTCTGAGAGTGGGAGCTGTTTGGGGCCTTCGGAAGAGAAAGATCCGATGACAAAATGGCAGCAGATGAAGGAATATGGCTTTTGGTCGCCCTCTCGTGCCGGCATTCCGAAGCCGAAGCAACGTGGGAGGAAGAGTAAGAATGAAATTATGAAGAAAAAGATGGAGCTTGCAAAAAGGGAACAGGTTAGCCGGTTTACAAAGATTGCTGCTCCAAGTGGGCTGCTGAATGAGTTGAACCCTGGAATTATAAATCATGTGAGGAATAGAAAACAGGTGCTCTCCATTATTGAGGCTCTTGTAAGGTCTGAAAAGCATGAAAGTAGCAGTGCAGGGAGCAAACAAGCAGCTCATCGAATACATGGAAATGTAGAAGTTAGTAAGAGGGATCAAGAAAATGTGGCTGATGTGGGTGAGAATCAGCTTGCCTTTGCTCATGTGGAAGGGACCCTTCATAGTTCTTCAGGGAATAGACAGGCAAGAAAGTTTCCTGTGACAATGAATGATTCTTCTTCCTTGATATTGGAGGGTAAAGTTTGTGGTCGTGACGCGGGTACAGTAGAGAAAGGTTGTCTTAAAAGTTGCATGACACAGTCAACGAATGTTGTAGAGCATGATGGTTTGGCTCTGAAATTGTCATCTGAAACGAGGGCGTCAATGAGTTCTACAACTTTGTCAAATGAAGAATCATCAAATGTCACAATGGTTTCATCTCTTTCCCTTAAAGGCTC